TTGAATGGCCTTTGAATATATTTGAACTTATTAATTATAGATCGAGAATGGCCGAAACTGCCGCTGCCTTTTCTTAACCTTTCTTAAAAGACACTAACTCGCAACACTAATCCGAGCGGAAAATTCCAAATAACCTCATTAATGGATATAGCACTTCAATTTATACAAAAAAACATCAAAAAGAAGGAGAGAGTTCGTTTCTGTCGGGTTATAACGACTAGAACAACAAATCATTAGCGCGAAATAGGTGCCAAATAAACAAATTTCTGCCAACTTGTTCAACCTGTTTTAATACTCTTTTTCTTTTGTTTCCTAATAAAGTAGGAATAAAAGAGAATCAAAAGCTTAAAAGTACTTGCATATCGACTATCGATGGTGTTCTACACAATGACGTTTGCCCGAGCTCTCTATCTTGTTTCGGTCTGAAATGGCACACAAAACAAAGTCACACTGTATAGGTGGACGAATAAATTTTCGAGCCACTGTATAACCATTCGAATGATTTACATGTCATAAGGTGCAAAATGGATTGGACACAGTACTGCACCACAATCTCGAAAATTGAACATGAGACACTGGTCACGGTCTGTCTTAAATTAAACAAGACTCATGAGCTTACAATCTGAGTCAGGCGAATTTTTTATTTCGTTTTTATAACTTTTTGGATAGGTATTTTACATTTAAAGTCAAAACAACTGAACTATATCGAAACTCGCAGATATGCAGTTTATTGGTGACAAAAAAGGCATTTCAAAAATTATTCAAGTTAGATCTCTCAAACCACAAGAATATATAGGAAGCCGTTCTATAGGAAAACTGAGCCATAGAGATCCCAAGATCGCTAGTACTTTTTAGGACGTCTATACATTTAAAAGGAAGATTTATATAGTGTGAAATGACTAATATGGTAAGTTTTAATAACCTGGGTTTTTACGATTTCTGGAAAATATTTTTCAAAATTCTAAAGAAATGTGACATCAAGTGTTAATGATTTAGTTAATTATGCCATCGACTTTTGATAGAAAAAGTCGATTATTTTGTGCGGGATTTCTTTTCCATTTTATATTATAAACGTAAATAAAATGCATACTGTTGTACAGAAATTCGTTGTAATTTGCTATCTGCAGATCTAGGCAGCTAAGGAACGTGTTTGAGGATTAGTCTTTGAGAAAAGTGAACTGATGGACCAGTCTCGAATGAATAGAACTAGCGCCCATTCGGACTTGTTCGTAACAAAGCGAGTTGGTCCGTATATTAGTTTTAAATTCATTTACGCGCTTGGAAAGTACATTTTATCTTCAGCTGTCTGCAACTTTTAATTTTATAGCTTCGTAAACTCGAAAGTGAAGTTAAAAAGCGTCGCACACAGATCGATCATCGTTTCAAAGCTTATACGGGTGATGTCAAATCAAAGAAAAAATTGCAGGTATAACTCTGATGTATTAGATGTTTTAAGTTATTAACACATTTTAATTTGTACATAATTCTTTTTTTTGTGAGTAAACTACATTTTCTTTTCGTTCTTAAATCTATTCTATTGTTATTTATTTCATATGTAACTGTTTTGTTATATTCTATATGTATAAATATCAGAAATAAAAAAGTATTATATTATTTCTGAGAGATCTTTTTCCAAATACAAGGTCATTGTTGTGAAAGTACATAATTAATAAGCCTCTACTACAGATGGAAGCCAAAGCTCTCTTGTATGTATAAATTTTATTTTACAAGTGAATGAATACACTACAACTAAAAACATCCATATATATACTATTATGTTACATCATCTTAGAATATTCTCGCGAATATTGTATTGTCTTCTTAGGTCTCAAGACCTAACTACTTGATCAAATTTTTGAATAGTATTTCATTTATTAGAGTAAACAATTCTTAAAAAAATAGAGTATTTTGGTTGAAAAAAAAGCACAGCTGATTAAAAAGGAAGTAAAATGAATTACAGGTTTTCAACTGGCAAAGTTATACATTCGTTTACTGAAAGGAATATAGATAAGCAGTATTTTCTATGACTGATTAGAAGTGCTTGTACAAACAGTATCAAAATTATTCTCATTTGAGAAGTTAAAATAGTACATTCTAAAAAAAAGCCTAAAAAAATATTAATCAACAATAATCCGTATATAAATTCTAGAACTATCTCTAATTTGCTTATAAAAGGCAAGAAACAATAATTTCAAGGTGAGTATTAATTGTTTTCATTTCTCACTACAACCGATTATCAATTAAAGTGTTCAAGTGGAAATTAATCTGGTAATTATAGATCTGATAGCTCCAATGTTTTCTCTCATTCTCTACATCATCATTACTCAGTGTTCATTTTAAACGCCTATTTGTTTCTAACTCACTACGCATATATACACATTGAAATATTATAGTCGCACTGATTATATATGTGTGTGCGGTGATGATGATCATAATGATGATGATGATGATGATGATGTGTTTGGTTAAAGATGACAAGTTGACATTGAAAGTAAAAGTGATGAAAAAAAAAATCTCTTACACTAGAATCTCAACAGGTGATCTTACTGTTCGTGTATACGTGCGCCTGCTGTCTTAAAGTTGTTGTTTCTACAGTGATATTTGTTGATACTCTCTTCTAACACCGATCAGTTTCATTTTATAATATAAGGAAATGGATAGAGTGAATTGAGTATGTGTCATTCGATTAATTCAAGTATATTTTATTAAAAACACCTAACTTACTTTATTTTGTCGTTTTTCTTTTTCAAATTCAAAAATATGTACGACTATGGTTAATACAGATGAATAGATTCAGTGAAAAAATTAAAGTAGTTGTGTTGTTATATAATTAAAAATTGTTGTTCAATATACTGATTTTTAGGTAGAGTGACATATTGCTTTGAGCTATTCTGTTCGATCCACCTTCCACAATATATGTTATTGCAGTCGATTATAGAGCATAAAACTCACTCACTCTCACTTGATCTGATAAATAATCAACTGAAAGGCAAAACAACAACGTTAGTGTGTCAAATATGCCAATTTTATCGTCATATGCAATTATCATTTAAGTATAGAAGTTAAGATTAACTCATATCCGGACCACCCAGTCATTATCAAGTAAATGCAAGAGAGAAAGAGAAACATTACTTTCTATTTCCGATTTATACATATATATATATATATATATGGGAAGGTGTCAATGAAAAATTCGTTTTGGTTATAATAAAATAGATATTTGACTTAATTTTTGATTTGTATAAATAAGCGATGAACAATTATGAACAATAATTATTATGATGATAATAATGAAATAAATGGAGAGTGGTTCGAACACTTATATGAGAAATTTGACTGTAAACAAAAGAAAAAGAAAACCTTATCAATCAGTTATTTATAGCTAAAAATAGATGTGATTTTTATTGTTAATAGCGACAAGAATCGTCGATTGTATCATATGTACATGATGAGAATTATAGTCTCTCTCTCTCTCGCTCTTCCTCTCTCCCTGATATTCACCATTCTTTCTCATATTTAATCTTATACGTTAAGATTAGCTGAAGTATGACTCACTTGACTCAGATTATCATGTAAAAATATAATCCGATACTTGAAACAAGAGTAAAAGCTGGATTTCATTTAGTCATTACTATGTCTATTGCACAATCACATGTTGTCGTTGTAATTAATGTCTCTACTTAAGTGGTTGAAGAGGAGTGTAGTTCGTTTTTCGAATTAATAGAGGTAATCAAGCTGATCAAATTCTGTTTTTAGAAAAATATAATAGAAAGTGATATATAATAGTAGATAATATTTGGTGTATTTTTTGTTTGAGATTTTTTGATAACTAAAACGAATACATCATATTTTATCCGTAAATATATTTTCCAGTACTTTTAAACAAATTAATATAAAATTTGATAATTCAACTTTCACTTTTTTGTTTTATTTTTGTATATGGTGATCATTTAGTTATTTTTTATTATTGAACAATGCATGCACAAAGATATATACATCTACTCGTGGTCACCTCAAGCAATAGCAATTTAATCGGCTTCTATCAATGTAAATGTTTTAATATTATACATACTTGTTTCTCTAATGGCTTCATTCTTTCGTTTTATAGATGTACTGAGAGAGAAAATAAATTTCACTATACATACAATAGTGATGTGATCTTTTTTTTTTGTTTAATGCCCATAAACTGGACTTTCAAGTTTTATTTAATTTGATGCATAATTAAATCTTTAATTGACATTACTATTAGTATTCAGAGAGAGAGAGAGAGAGAGAGAGTCTACTATTGTATTAAGAATTTAGACAAAGATAAAAAATGAAATGAACAAATGATAACAGGCAACAATTAATATCAGTTACTAAATATTTACTACATGCAATATTGACGATATTATTTGAAATCATTATTGACATGAGAATAAAAATTCTGACTTGAATCAATTATAGTCTAATGGCAAACATCAAAATATCTTTCTTGATAAAAACTACTTTCTAGAACAATTTGAAATTAAACTCTTTCTTTTACTATAATTATAAATTCTTTAACGAATACATAAATTGTAATTAATTTGTATTTATTCTATCATATGTTTCTCAATAAGAAATATATTTTTTCTATAATTATGTATACATTTGTTGTTGTTTTTTTCATGAATATTTCTATTAATATAACATCTGCATAACAAATTAAAAAAACCAAAACAAATGACAATAAAATAAAAACAAAAAGTAAAAGATTCACCCTCAAATAATACGGTGATGATTAAAGAAATGACCCCATTGAGCTTTAAAAAATAAAAACCCGTAGAAGAAAAAAAATTGTGGTTAGTAAAAACTATCTTTCATCGAACAGTTCAATTATTGATCAGTTTTCCGAGTAATAATGAAAAAACCGGGACATGAAACTATTGCATGAAAAATGGATGTTAAAATTGCACTAACAAATAATAATTGCATTTAATGCTATATGATGGGACAAGAAATTATGTTCTTGAAAATGCCTATAATAGTGAGGGTATATCGGGCATTTTATACATATCTTTAACAAGTTGTTCCATTCGTATCGTACCAATTGTTTTACGAAATAATAATTCTTCGATTGTTGATGGTGATATGTCAAGTAGAGAACGTGCCATTGATAAAAGTTTTGCAAAACGAAGTGGTTGTGTTGGATAAGTAGTAATTATATATCGGTTTAGAAGTGCTTGTGCTTGACTTTGTAGACATGCAATACTTTGTAAATCGCGTAATTGTAAATTATTTAATGAAGTATTACAGTTAGAAGTTACTAAAAATAATCAAAAGAATATAAAGAAAAGTTTACAATAAGATAAATAAAATTTATTTAACTTTTTATTACCTGTTTTAAATAAAACAATAGTTTTGAGCATATAGTATTCAGTAGAATCGACTTGTATTTGTTTAAATTTAAGAATAAAATCTTGTAATTGTTCAATATCCGATGATAATTTTTCACTGTTAATACCAGCTTTTGTCAATAAATCATCTCGATCAAGTGATAATTGATTTTCAGCTGCACCAAGTACAAATAAATCTTTCCAACCTTCTTCGAGAAGTGATAACTAAATATAGGAAGAAAAAAAAAAGAAGACATATTTATTACTAGATATTCATTTTTCTCTTCTGTACCATTACTTGATCTCGAATGGATAAACCGAAAAATGCAGGAACAGCTTTTGCCCAATTAATAGCATTAAATAATATTCTTGCTGCTGTTTCATGTGTATCATGATAATTAATTCGTAAATCAAATGGATACTGAAAAAAACAAAAGATAATAATAATAATGATCTAATATTCAGTTAAAAATGAGTCGTCTATTTTACTTTTGGTGTGGGATGTACAACAATTGGAGAAACAGCTGTAACTGGAGAAGATAAACTTGTTCTATTTGAAGATGTTGTAGTGGATGTTGTAGTGGCTGTTGTAGATGTTGATAATGTAGCATGAAGATTCATGTTTACATGTGTAGACATTCCATTTGTACGTAAAAATGGCACAGTATGATAAGCATTAATTAAATCACTCGATTCCTTGAGTAATAATGCCATTTGACGACGAATTGTTGAATTTCTTGGTCCTCGTTCATGTTGTACAGCTAAAAGAGTAGGAAAAAAATCATGTGTTATTTTCTATCTTAGAAAATGATTATTTTATCATCTTAAACCAAACAGTATACATCAAAAAGAGTCGATTTATCAAATTTGTAAATAATTGAAATTGAAAATTGTATTTTTGTAAAATTTTATCTTATTTTGTCTATTATTTTAACTATTGCTTAAAGCATAATCACTTTTCTTAGAATTGAACTAAACAAACATTCTTTCAATATTATTTTTATTTTTAAAAAAAATTCTAATATTTTAAAAGAAGAATAATGTTTGACAATTCATCTATCGTATATTTAACCAACTATGTTTGGAATGTTTTTACTAATCATAAATTTTCTAGATCATGTTTCTTTTTCACATGAAAATTAAATTTATTTTGTTCAAGTATTATAAATAGAAAAAATTTTTCTAGTAAAATAAAAAGAAAAAAAACAAAAAATGAAACAAATTAACAACTTTGAAGTGGTTAAGAGTAAAAATCATTTTATTAAGATGATCAAGTGGAAATCAACCTTTGCCCAATTAAAGTTCTGTTAATTGTTCAACCAATCGAAAATATATAAAAAATGTATTTGTTCATCTAGATTGATTAATCTGGGCAATGTTGTGGCAAATGCCCGTAGCTCTTTCTCCCATACCTTTCAATCACTTATAGAGTGATGTTTTCATGTAGACGTGTGTATATATATATATATACAGGTATATACACAAAAATATCTTTCTAGTGTTTATAAAAATTTGGAAAAATAGAGTACTTCATGAGTCACTGATTCAAACTCAAGTGTATTATGTTCAAGGCTACTAAATTTTAGTAATTTCAACATTTTCCAAATTATACGGATGAAATAAACTAGTTGAACAATATTCATATTTAATGATATGTTCAATTGAAAATTATTCTAGTAATATAAGTGATTTATTGATCTTTTAATGAAAAAAAACAAAAAAAATTCTTTTATAATTACCTTCTTTATTCATGCCTGCTTCTGTACATTTTTTTAATCGACATGCTCGACATTGATTTCGATGTGTTTTATCTACAGGACAATTTCCCATACCATGATTTTTACATACATATTGTCGATTTCTTCTTATTGATCTTTTAAAAAATCCAGCACATCTAAAATATATAACAAATATTAAAAAATAAAACATAAAAACTATAGCCTCTATGGAGATTGTCAAGTTTATCTAATTGTAGTCGTGTATGTTGCGATGGTCATATTTACAATTTCATATAGAAAAAGAATAAAATGTTTATAATATTAATAATAATTCATATTTTTAAAATTAAAATATGTTTTTCAGCACCTTATCTTGATGTTCCAACTAATAATTATAATATTCAATCAATATTATACATATTATCAACATATAAATCAAATAAATATCCAATTTTAACAAATATATATTCGAAAGAAAATACACATTATGAAAATTTACTCAATTTTATTCATCATTATCCACGTTTAGGTCAAAATGAACAACAACAAATACATCTAACAGAAATAAAATATTGGCTTACATTGTTATCCGTATCACAGAGTATAAAAACAAAATTCATAACAAATTGTTTAAATAAATTATTTTTTAATGATTATTTAACTTATCCTTTAAATTCAAAAATAACCGAATCAGAAAAATATGGTTTAGCTACTGATATATTTACAATTAATTCAATATTAAAACCAGAACATTTACCATATGAATCTGGTGTACGTTATGTCGATTTAGTTGAAAATCGTTTTAAACAAGAAAATGATAAACGACCACCATATTGGATACGTAGACAAAAAGATGGTATTTTAATGAGTGAATGTTTAAAAACAATTATTGATCGAACAACAATTGATCAAGAACAAAAACTGGATAGTGAACAAATGACTAGTGTAAATCGAATAATACCGCAAACATCATCAGATACTCAAACAAATGTTGGAAAAGAGTTTACAGAAACTGATCGAGGACCAATATTTTGGTTTATCAATGCAGAAGATGATAGATACGGCTATGATTAATTTAAAATTGTGTCAAAAAAATTATTCTAACAAATTTATCAAACAATAACAGTATTAAATAGAAGATTTGATGAGAATGTTTTTATTTAACGATGTTTTAGTCATTCTAAGTATGATCTTAATGTTGATTATTGTGAATCATTGAATTTAAGCAGACTATAATGCATTTATGTTGTTGTTGTTTTTAAGTCAATTTAAACAACAAGAAAAACCTCAAAATTGTTTTTTTGAATAATTAAATATTAATCTATCTTTTCGATTTTCTACGGTCAATCTAGATTTTAGACTTATTAGCTTGACTCATTGATGTTTCAATTTACTACATTTTTATCAATTTCATAGGTTTTTTTAATTAACATCGTCTACATTTTTGATCATGGTCACAATGTTCAATATTTAAATCTTTTTAATAATACAACAAATATAGCGTTTATAAATGTATAAAACACGATGTTTCTCTATGATTTAAGACCGTACACTTTCATTTCATTTCTTTCTTTTTTTTACAGGTATTTAATTAGGGGTGTGCTATATTAGAACAACCAATATCGCGTTCAATTGTCATATATAGAAAATATACAATAATTAGTCGCGACCATTGACAATCAACTATCAATGATTAGTCTTCTCCCTAAGGCTGTTTCTCATTTGATATCTTCTCACTTTATACGTATAGTTAGTCACCAACAACAACGTCGAAAATTAAATATAATGTCAAAAAATGAAATGAAATGAGCAAAATATAAAAGTACAACAACAGAGACAATGACAAAATACAATACTATTGTCAAATAAGCGTATAATTATAGCGCGAATAACATATATATTAAGATCATGCTTTTAGATCTGCACGCATAGACAAACAATATACTACGTAGCACATAAAGCACATTACAAAACATCAAATNCATTATAGTCTGCTTAAATTCAATGATTCACAATAATCAACATTAAGATCATACTTAGAATGACTAAAACATCAAATTGAAAAAAAAAAAATTATACTTTTTCATTTGTTGTCATTTTTCTGTCAGGATGAAGGAAAAAAAATAGAAAAAAAAAGAATTTAAAAAGGAAAGTTTTTACGTTGTCATCGATTTTTAAATAAAACTCATGAAATTAAAGAATTACTTTATGAGATCTATTTGGCATTAGATTTTATAGAGCATGAATCGATTAACAAAGATAAAAAGAATAAAATTATTCTTTATAAAAAGAACTTACCCATCACATGCAAATATACCATAATGTTTTCCCGATGAATTGTCGTTGCATACTCTACAAGGAACATCAGCTAGTATTCGACCTAGGATAAAAACAAACAAATAGTGTTGATTCATAATAATAATAATAATAAAAAGTAGATATTAGAGTACCATCAACTACGACTATTTGAAATCTGTTTCAGACACACCTTCTCTCATTCTCAGATTTCGGCTGTGAACTATTGAACTATTTATTCTTTTTCCAAAAAAATATGACTATTGTGTTGTGCATTTTAGAATACATAACAGATTAATTTGAAAACATTTTAGATTGCTAAATCTTATTTGCTATCGAGAATTTAGATATAATTTCGTACTCTTTATGTTTGTTATCAAATACTCACTTGATGTAGCCATTTGTCTTGTATTCATTATTTTTTCACCAGACAAGTTGATGTTTCAATTGGTAAAATGATTCATTCTATCGATCGATGTGAAGACATGACGATAATGAATAAGAATAGTATTTTTTCTGATAAAACATTATTATTATATACGACGTTTGTTTAATTTTTTGTATTCTTATCTAGAATTCTATTGTATTGTTTTGTTTTAATACGATATTTTGTGAATTTGTGTAAACTGAAGTAATTAATTAGCTAAATGGTAAATGGATCCGAAAAGTTATAACGTATCCGATTGAAACTGATAGGCTACAATTTTTGCCGTCTGAAAAAGTAAAAGAGAGGGAAAAATTTATAATATAAAACATTCAGAATTCAATCCTATTTGAGAAAAAAAAAACATCATAATTGATTGGTGTTTCTTCTTTTTGAGTTTAAACACATTTGACTCTTTTTGAATCGAAAAAAAAACGAAAGAAAAGGAAACGAAAACGTAGTTGTCTGCTAAAAGATCACTTACCACTTGAAATTAATACATTCTATAACAGCAGTAGACGAATACAAAAATAGGTGCGAGAAATCTTCAACTATATCGCAACAGGTGATTATTTCTTGCTGTGTACATGTGTGTGTGTTGTCGGTCTCATTTATTCTTTTCTTCTCTACGGATTTATTTATGTACATATAACATTGCGAAAACGATATCTACCTGTTTATCGTATTGGTTTTCACGTATAGGCAGTTATTTTGATTGGTTCTATTTTCTTCTCTTTTCTTTTCTTTCTAACACTTTGATTTTAAAAATGAGAAAGTCAGAAAAAAAGTCTTTTTTGAATAGATGAAAATAAAAGAAAAAAAAAAAAAACAGAGACAAGAACTTGACGAACGACGTGTGTGTGTGTGTGTTTTTATCGTCAAATAAAAATCTTTCAAAGTGATTGTTACATCAATAAAAACAGAAACATCATACTCTACTTAAAATAGCGAAATCGAATTAACTGCGTCTAGAACTAAATAAATAAACTTGAAATAGACACGAGAAACTTAACAGAACAACACGAACAAAAAAAAAAAAGGACTACGATTATTACTGTATTTTATCGAGTTCGAGTAGAGTGTATGATCCGTGAACACGAAAAAAAAAGAGTGTGCATGCCATCAGCATTTTGTTTTGATTTTAATTTCATTTAAATTTAATTTTTAGTCTATCATAAAAGGTTTCTAAAAATTTGACCAGTAGAATGAATGAAGAAGAGACTTTGTGATGAAACTCATTACGACTAAATTCGAGTAAATATAGTCGATAATTAAACGAAAAAAATAGTCTCATTTCAATAATTAAGCGACTATTTACATTTTACTATCATATACGAAAAGAAAATTTTTTACTTGAACACATTAACATTCCAGAGTTATTGTGAAACAATTTAATATTAGAAATTAAAAAAAAAGTGATTTCCGGTGTGTAATTAGTTGTATGTAAAACATTGTGTACATATATTCTAAGTTCACCGGGTATAAAACAAAAATTATTTTAAGTCATTTTAAAGACGTGATGAGTAGATATATAGTAGATTTTGTTTATTTAAGTATTATCATCAATTCAAAAAAAACGAACAAGTGAGAGAAAAAAGAGAGAGAGAAAATGAAGAAATAAAACAGGTATAGGTCATATATAAATGATGAGATGAAGAATAATCATGGCTGTGATGATGTTGAAAGTGATGATATGCTGAGACCTTCTAATGGGTCATTGTCTATTACACACACGTTCAATCTATTTTTGTGTGAACTTTTTTTTTTCTAATGAGATGTAAGTTATTGTCATTGAAAACAAAAAGAGGGAAAATGTTTTCTTCTATTCACGCCTTTTCAGGATCAATATGTAAATGTTAGTCGAATCCTTGAGCTATTATTTGAAGTTGTTAAGCTTTTGTTAGATAGATATATGAATGACAAGTGAATAAGCGTGTATCCATTATGAACAATGAAATCAGCTAGTGGACAACGAAATTTTTTCTAGAAGAAAAAAAAATACTCTTTTTATCTAAAGCCATTAATGAGACAAACGTTTGTTAACAATTCATAGAGAAAGACTATTAATTAATCTTAATTCTTTTACTACTTCATTCAAAAAAAAATATCATGTTTAAACTAGTTATAACAAAATAATGGACGAATAATATTCTTCAAACATTAGTTCATTTGCAACTGTCATTTAGTACAGTAATCGTTCCACTATTTATTGAATAAATAAATTTTATTCCACAGTTTCACATATTTGAACAATAAAAATAGTTTTCAGTCTTTAAAAAATATGTCGCATTTAGATCCCCAACTCTCAATTTTCGTCTTAGATAATTGGATATTAATGAAATAGATGTCTCAGAAAAGAAGATTGTAAGCTAGTCATTCAGTCTCTTTAATTTTAGCTTTTTCTGAGTAAGAAGCTGTGCTATCATATGAAATTCATTTAAACACACAGTATTAGTCATTTCTACAGATAGAACATCAGTATTTAACTAAGCCTTTGCTCAAGCTCTAGAAGAAGTATTGTCTACACTGAGAATAAAAAATGCTTTAGTAAGAACGTTGTGATAATTCAAAAATGCGTCTACGACGTATAATGCAGTTATTCGAAGCGCATTATTAATTATTTTTTATGTTAGATGTCAACTAGACATCTATATACCTTGAATTCATCCCTTAGTTGTTGTATTTTTAGCTACAATGACTCGAATAGACACCGTTAACGCATCAGTTAGTTGCGAGGTACTGGCTACCGTTAAGATGTATAGTCACCTCTAACTCATCAGTTAAACGTGTAAGTATATTCAAGTCACCAAAAGTACACTGACATGCTAGTTAGACACTCAAACGCCGTAGTATGCAACTAAAACACATGTTAAGAGAGATAAGAAAAGTACCTTGTGTACATTGTCTGAAATAATCGTCGTTTTTTAAATGTATTTCATCATTTTACTCATTTTAGATATGCTGTTGAATGTGCTGTGGCTATACAGTAACATTTTCTGTTATCAGTAATAATCCGTTCTTTTTAATCTGTTTCAGATAAATTTGGACTTTGTTTAGTTCTAAACTATCTGTTTCATTTAGGCAAAACTTAAGATATTAAGAATAAGAAAGACTAATACCTGCTTGCAAGTGTTTACTAATAGTAACATCTCTCGTTTTTCCTATATTTCTCTTGTTAATCCTAGAACGTCTGCCTCTTCTTCACAAGCAGCGTTGTTGTGATAAAATAATACCACCAATGTATGTAATGTAACAAGCGTTCTCCTTCTCTCTTCTTTGCCCTCCTCTTACACTATTCAGAAGTCCAAGTTGAATTTCTTTGACGTAGAGAACAAGTCTTTTTTAGTAAAGTCTC